CTGTTGCGTGCTTCTCTTTCTCCACCTTGGCCAACGTCAGCTCCAGGTCATCAATGTCCCTTTTGAGCTCAGAGCACTCGTCTTCCAGCTTGCGTTTCTTGGCGGTGAGCTCGGCGTTCATCTCCTCCTCATCCTCCAGCCTCTCGTTTATCTCCTTCACCTTGGCCTCCAGCTGGATCTTGTTCTTGATCAGCTGGTCACAGCGTTCCTCTGCGTCATTGAGGTTGTCTTGTTCCTGAGGGTGAGGCACAGAGGGGAGGCTGTCCAGTGGGTGGAGTCCTCGCATGGCAGGTGGAGGGAGGCAGAGGCTCAGCCCTCACTATAGGAGGGGAGCTCCTATCTCCTGCTGAGAAGAGCCTCAGAAGGATGGGGAGGGGAAGAATTTTAGGGCAGTGTGAGGGGGCATTGGAGAGCCAAGAGCAGAGCGAAGGAAACCAGAAGTCTCTTTATCTGGCTCTCTTCCTCTGGTCTCCTCCACTGAAGGGAGGGAACTACATTTGCCGATGCCAGAACTTTACATATTTACAGTCTAGTGAGATGGGCAGCTTTATTTCCCATCTAGGGATGAGGACATTGAGATTCAAAGACAATGCATGGTTTGCCCAAGATCATGAGATTATTGAGCTGTGGATCCAGGATGAATTCAGGTGGAAAGCCTGTGTTTTAAAAGTTAGTTCTTTCCCCCTTCCCTTTCCTTCTCTTGAAGGACCTTTTTGGAGGTCTTCAAAGTATTGACCCAGAATCGTCTGCCTGTGAGGTGACAAGATGGTGAGCCCATGGGTGGAGAGGGGCAGGGTGTGTGGGAGATGTAGGCAGAACAGGGTGTAAGAGCCAACAGGGGCTCAGAGCCTCACCGCCTGCACTTGGAGCTGTAGGTCGTTCTTCTCCTGCAGCAGGGACACCATCTTCTCCTCCAGCTCCTTGCGGCGAGCCTCCGACTTCTCTAAGGCCTCTTTGAGGCGTCCAAATTCTTCCTTCATGTTAGCCATCTCCTTCTCTGTCTCTGCACTCTTTAATAATGGCTTGATCTTGAAGTAGAGTTTCATCCAGGGCCAGTTCTTGACTCCCATGAAGGCCCGAATGTTCCACTGGATTATCAGCAGGGAGTCTCTGCAGGGGCCCAATGAGAGAGGTGGTGAAAGTGCCCTCTTTCCCCCTTCCTGTCCTGAGGCCCTGACTACTAAGTAACAGCCCTTGCCTTCATCCATTCCGTCCTCTGACCCTGAGACCCCATCCTGTGTCTGTATGAACCACTCCTGCCAGTCTTGTTTGAAGAACCAGTGAGCTTTCTGCTGCCACTGCCCTTGATCAGCCTGGGCCTCAGATGATGGGGAACATGCTTTTGATATCTCTCACCTGCGTTCCAGCAGCTTCTTGAACTCCATTCTGGAGAGCACACCCCGGGACTGGGCCTGGATACGGGTGATGATGCGGCTCAGCCTCTCGTCTCGCATCTCCTCCAGCAGCCCCAGCAGCCCCGCCTTGAAGAACACCTGTGGCCAAGGGGGAGAGCCAAGGGGGCCACAGCTTCAGAGAAGGGTATCCAGGGTGAAGGAAATGGGTGGGAGACCCTGGCTGAGCTCCCAGGGACCCATCACCTGCTCATCCTAGACCTGAGAGTGAAATGTGAAAGACAAGACAGAAAGAAGGCCTGGCTTCCAGCACTTGGGGTGATACAGGAAGCCAGGAGCCAGGGTCTGCCTTCCAAACTCCCAGCTGCTCCACTCAACATGGCCACACAGCCTGCAATTCCACCCTATGGGGCTCTAGACGCACCTTGGTGTGGCCGAACTTGTACTGGTTGTGGTCAATGTCCAGGGAGCCCAGCAGCTTCTCTGCCCCTTTCCTGCTGTCAATGAACTGTCCTTCGGGGATGGCTGCTGGATTCAGGATGCGATACCTGGGAGGGAGGTGCCCGGAATCACCCACGTTCTTCACCGATCTGCTCTGCCCTCAGAGCTCGGGGACCCCTGCAGACTCCCCACCCCATCGAGGTCACCGGGGCACCCCCCTGTTCCCTGAGCCCTGGGGTGCCTTGTACCCACCTCTGTCGGAAGTCCCCATAGAGGATACGGTTTGGGAAGCCCTTCCTGCAGATGCGGATGCCCTCTAGCACGCCGTTGCAGCGCAGCTGGTGCATGACCAGGGGGTTGTCTATCACCCCTATGGCAGGAAGGAGGGGAGAGGAGTATGTGGAGAGAGCCCTGGACTGAGAGCCAAAAAATCCTGGGTTCTGACCCTGGCTGAGCCACTTATTAGCTGGTAACTTTAGCAAGTCAGTTAATAATGATCCTTAATTTTTTTCTAGCCTACTTTTAAGAGTAACCAAAAGGCTTTCACATTTCTTATTTTATATGGTTTATGCCTATTATCATCGATGGTAGACAGGGCAGATATATCTCATTTCCTAGAGAATAAACTAAACCCAGAAGGGTTAAGGGACCTGGCAAAGTTCACTAAGCTGATCAAAACAGAGCCAGGCCTTGAACCAAGGCCCCTGAGCCTCTATCTCCTTATCAGTCAAAAAGGGATAAACAATCCTTACATGTCTCATTGGGGGTTGTAAAGCATTCGTGAGGTAATGTCCTTCCAAGTGCCTTACACATTACCCTGAGTTTCACATTCCAAATGTAAGGCAATGGGGTGGGGATGGCCTGTAGGTCCTGATGGGAATTGGAAGGAGAAGAATGTGATTTGGAAAGCACCGAGTTGGGAGATTAGGAGATGACTTAGAAGGCCCTGTCCCCAGGGTAGTGTATCTCTAGCACTTGTCTGGGCCTGAGTTCAGGGGCTCACCAGGAGACTTGGTCTCGTTGGGGATGATGCAACGCACGAAGTGGGGATGTGTAGAGCGCAAGTTGGTCATCAGCTTGTTCAGATTTTCCTGTGAGTCAAGAAACAAGCGGGAAAGTAAAGAACGTAAAAGAAAAGTAACAAAGGGGAGAGGAAAGGAAGCAAGGGAAAGAGAGGAGAGAATGCATGGAGCTAAAGAGAATGAAGGAATGCTAGGGAAAGACATGGAGGAACAGATAGAGGATGGAAGGCAGTAGGGAAAGAAAAGAAAGGTGAGATGGGAGCGGAATAAAGAAAGAGGCCAGCAGATGAAGGAGAAGAGAATGGAGATGAAGAAATCAGAAGACAAAGAGTGGAAAGGATCATGGATCATGAATGAAATGAGGTGTGGGGATAGGGTGGGGTGGTTGCAGGGCAGTGGTGGTGGGAGTGGGAAGAATCAAGATGAATAAGGTAGGGAAGGAGCCATGCTGGTCTGGGGCTGGGGTCACACACTCACCCTGTGTAGAGCTGACACAGTCTGAAAGGATGAGCCTTTCTTGCCCTTGCCTTTGCCCTTCTCAACAGCTGTGGAAAAGAGAGTCAAGAAAAGGAGCACAAGTGGGCATGTGGGGAGGCCAGGGTAGGGGTGAAGAGTCACAGCGTCTCTTCCCATCCTTGCTGGAATTTGGCCTCCAGGCAAGGGTCTTCATTGTGGGTGTCTGAGTTTCTCTACCCAATTCTATCTCACTGAGCCTGTAAACCTTGGGCACAGCCTCACATGGAAATGGTGGGGTATAGCAATTGACCTGCCTCAGATCTAGGCCAGAAACCCTGCTCCTAGTCCCCTGTGTCCCTGTCTCTACTTACGTGCATCAGCCCCAGCATAGTTGGCAAACAGGTTGCTGAGCAGCTTGAGGGAAGACTTCTGGTACAAGCCCACCACCGTCTCATTCAGTGGGTCTTTGTTCTTCTGCAGCCATCCCAGGATGTTGTAGTCCACGGTGCCGGCATAGTGGACCAGGGAGAAGTGGGCTTCCGGCTTCCCCTTGATATTGCGTGGCTTCTGGAAGTTGTTGGACTTGCCCAGGTGGTTGTCGTACAGCTTGGACTTGAAGGTCATGTCAGTGGCCTTCGGGAACATGCACTCCTCCTCCAGGATGGACATGATGCCCATGGGCTGAGGGTGGAGGGGAGATCATCACTGAGCACGCTTAATGCAAATGGAGGTAGATCCTGCTCTGGGGTCATTATTTGATTATGGAGATGCTCCTTTGGATATTAAGGTATCAGGCTCAGTTCTGGTTACAGTTATCTATTGAGTGACACCTGTTAGAGCCTTCCCCAGGTGGAAGACTTTGTTTGATGTCAGAGAGACTTTTTTGAAAGTCTGGTAATGTGGATGCTATAGGTGCTTTACACACCACTCTATCACCCAGGTCCCTGAGATGTTGGGGTTGAAAAATAAGTGCATTCTTACAATCCCCCGCCCTGCCCTCAAACTTTCTGTTCCTTGCAAGGGTAAACCAAGGGTGATAAACACACTGGTGTGGAAGGCTATCCTGGATGTGCTGTCCCTTGTGTGTCCACTCCCAAGCCCCTGGGAAATTGACTCTCCCAGGTGCCACCTGTCCTGAGTGGCTAGGGTGACACAGGGCTCTGAAAACTAGGCTTCAGATCCTTCTGTTATCCATATCCTGTTCCCCAGAAGAGATGGGGCTGCCATTTTGTCTGGGAAGTTTATGTGGGTGTGAGCAGAAAGCTCAGGTGGGACCAATGCAGCACCTTCTCGATGAGGTCGATGCAGGCCTGCAGGTCCATGCCGAAGTCGATGAACTCCCACTCGATGCCCTCCTTCTTGTATTCCTCCTGCTCCAGCACGAACATGTGGTGGTTGAAGAACTGCTGCAACTTCTCATTGGTGAAGTTGATGCAGAGCTGCTCGAAGCTGTTGAACTGCAGGGGAGTGAGGGCAGGAGCCGGTCAGATACACCAGCTGCTGAGTGGCCCGTGGGGTCAGCCCAGGGCTATCTCCAGCCCAGTGAGAAGTGTGGCTGGTCCCCTCCCCTGTCAGGGCAGGAAGGGAACGCTGCCCCTGGAGTCAGGACAACGACTGCCTCTGTCAGTGCTGGACCCCACTGCCTTTCTCATGCCTGGTCTATAGCTGGCACTCAACAAACGGTTGTTGTGTGTGCCAACGAGTGACTTATTGTTCTCCCCACCCCCAGGGCTCTCTCTACTCACGTCAAAGATCTCGAAGCCGGCGATGTCCAGGACTCCGATGAAGTACTGGCGTGGCTGCTTGGTCTCCAGGGTGGCGTTGATTCGCGTCACCATCCAGTTGAACATCTTCTCATACACTGCCTTGGCCAGTGCCCCAGTGGCATACGAAACCTGAAAGGAGGGACCTGGGTGAGCATGGCTTTTGGAAAGGGTGAATTCTAGAGCTCCCACTGCACCATGCCATTCCCCGCCACCATTTGTCTTCTGAAGATGACTCACCTGCTGGACATTCTGCCCCTTGGTGACGTACTCGTTGCCCACTTTCACCCGAGGGTGGCACAGCCCCTTCAGCAGGTCAGCTGAGTTCAGCCCCATGAGATAGGCAGACTTGTCAGCCTCTGGAAGGAAAGGGCAAGTAGCAAAGTTGTTAAAAAGATGACTCCTCTGCCGATGCGGCCCTCAGTGAGTCTACATCTGGCCCCAGCATCCCAGACGCCCACCTTCTGTGCCGTCTGGCTCAGCCTGCTCCTCTCGCTGCTTCTGTTTGAACTTCATGTTTCCAAAGTGCATAATGGCACCTGTCAGCTTGTAAATGGAGTTCTTCTCCTCTGGAGTGAAGCCCAGAACGTCAAAAGCGTTCTGTAGGCAGTCCCCGCATTGGTGGACCATAGGAAAGGACATAAGGCAGGTAAATGAGGTCCCCCTTCAGTTGTGGAGAGACTTCATCTCCTGAATCCCTGTGGGTTCTGAGACTCCCATATCCAGCAGGGACTCCAAAGCAAAGGTATGAGTGAAGGGTGGAGTGCAGGCTTCCTTCGCCCCAGTGTCAGTGGTCACAGCTGTTCTCTGGAGGTCTTCTGGGTTACCCACACGTTTCCTACTGTTGCCCCTTTTCTAAGTCCTACAGTTACTTTGCTACCTGGACCTTCCATTCTGGTTCATATCTGTTCTTAACAGCCTGCCCATGCCAGGGTGTCTACATGGACAGATATGAAAGGTCCCTCCCCTCCCTTCCTCTCTTGGTGGTGCCTCATTTCTTGGCTTGTCTACTTCTCTGTCCCATGGCTTTTAGCCCTCTCTGGTTTGACCAAATATTGGCCAGCCTTGTCTCATGACACCCCGGTACACCTTGGTCAGAGGGACATGCTGGCCCTAAGGGAGAGGCCATACCACTATGAACAACAGACAGCCAATATCAGCTCTACTCCTGGGCCAGTGGAATGGCCCCATTTGCCCCTTACTGCCAATCCCCTCATCTCTCGATTAGGTCCTTAGACACTTACATCAGTGGCTATGAGCTCCTCAGAGTCATCAATTGAGGCCACAGTGGTCTCTCCTTGGGAGATGAATGCATAATCATAGGGGTTGTTGGTGATCAGCAGCATGTCTGGTGGGGAGAAGGTGTAGTTAGGATGTGGCATAAGCCCCTGGCTGTCACTGGGGCTGCCTGCCACAGCACAGCGCCTGCAGGAGAGCACATGACAGGGCTTAATGTGGCCTCACATCCCACAGAACTGAATCCAGCAGTGCCATAAACCCAGGGCATGCCAACAATCAGCCACAAGCAGAGGGGACCAGGTTGCCATGGAGATAGTGGTCTCAGTTGGTAGCTCTCACTCACCTAGCAGTTCAGGCTTTTTGTTAGACAGGATTTGGTAGAAAATGTGATAATCTCTCTCTGATTTCAGCTGAAAAATAACTCTGGATTTTTCCAGAAGGTCTGTGAACAGTAAGGGAGAAGAAAGAGAGAAAGAAAAGGTTGGGAGTTAGGTACAAGGAAATAGAGGAAAAGTGAATCATAAATGTAGCTAGCAAGCAGAAGGCAGATGGAGAGGAAGAAGAAGAGAGAAATAGAGAGACTCATACAAAGATACACAGAGGTGGAGATGGAGACTGAGACCCAGGAGGAGAGAAATAGTCTCAGAGAAAGACACAGACCTGCAGAGACAGAGATGGAGAAAGACCACAGGAATTCTTAGAGAGAGATGGATATACAGACTTAGAGACACAAAGAGAGAGAGAGACAAAAAGACAGAGGAGAGACTGAGGACCAGAGATCTAGAGAGAGAAGACACAGAAAGAGAGGAGAGAAAGGTTGAGCTCGAGATGGTTAGAACGAGGGTGAGTTCAGGCTGAGCCCTAGCAGATTCATGGCACTCACAGGTCTCTATGTCTGCAGATGCCAACTTTCCAGTTGCCCCAAAATGGATTCGAATGAATTTTCCCTGGAGAGATGGAACATTGTAATGATGAGCTGAAGGAAGGCTCATATTTGATGCCATTCCTTGACCAGCCCAAATCCCAAATCCAAGGTCAGGGGCCACTCACGAAGCGGGAGGAGTTGTCATTCCGGACGGTCTTGGCGTTGCCGAAGGCCTCCAGGGCAGGGTTGGCCTGGATGATCTGGTCTTCCAGGGTGCCCTGCAAAGGTCAGGAGGATGGCAGGTTAGAGGGCTTCCCTCCCTTTTTGCAGTGCGGTCCCTTAAGGGACAGTAGACCTACCTTGCCTGGGTTCTGGTCCTTCTTGCTGCGATCCCCAATGGCGGCGATAACAGCAAAGTACTGAATGACCCTCTTGGTGTTGACCGTCTTCCCAGCCCCGGATTCTCCGCTGCCAGGACATTCAGAGGCTCATTAAGCATTGCACAAACACTGCTTGAAGCCAACAAGCCTCAAGTCAGGAGAGAGTGCCTGGTCTTGTGGACAGTGGGAGCCCTGACGCAGGCAGCAGGCCGGTACAATGCCTCCCAAACACACAGCTGTACTCTGACATACACAGAGTCAGGGGTAGCACCCAGGAAGGATGCCACAAGAAGGTGCTGGATTTAGGCAGGTAGGACCTGGTCTTAGCTGGTCAAAGACAATCAGAGGAGGTAGGCCTGGCCTGTTTTGAATAAGAATGAGTGGGGCTGGAAAAATGGGGAAGGTTTCTGAAGGGAAAGATGAAAGAAAATGAAAAGGTGAAGAAGACATGCTGATATTAGGCTTAAAGATAAGTGATGAGTTGGGGGAAAGTGAGTGAAGGAGATGGGAGAGGAAAAATAAGAGAGGGAAGGGAGAAAGCAAAGAGAAAGTAAGGGGAAAGGCCAGAGAAGAAAGGAGCTGGCGTGAAGCTGTAGAGGGTAAAGAGTGGGGTATGCATAGGGAATGGGGGCCCCGATGGGGGCTGGGGTCAGGGATATTCTGCAAGGAAACAAGGTAGGAGCCATACTTACGTGATCAGGATGGACTGGTTTTCTCTGTCTGTGGCGAGAAAATGGGGAGGAATCGTCAGGAACCACACAGAATGCTCTTGTTTGGTGTCCCCCCACCCTGCCTCTCTCTAGGCCTCACCTGTCAGCATGTACTGATAGGCATTGTCGGAGATGGAGAAGATGTGGGGCGGTGCCTCACTCCTCTTCTTGCCCCGGTAGGCGGCCACCACCTCAGCGTTGTACACCGGCAGCCACTTGTAGGGGTTGATGGTGACACAGAAGAGGCCTGAGTAGGTCTAGGTGTAGAAAAGGAGCAGTGAGTTGCCAGTGATGAAGAGGGGGGATGGTAGTTTTCAGAGTTAGAAAAAGTCCCGTGAGAGGAAGAAGAGGAAGGAAAATCTATGAGTGCACAAAATCTGAGTAATGCCTGCCCCCAGGGTATTAGAACTGAACCAAGGATGTAGGGACTAGGACAGAGTACAAACTGCCTGGGCACAAAGAACAGAATCTCTTGTCGCCAGGTGGTGGATTTGCAGGGACCAGGAAGCTACCAGATTCAGAGGCATGTCCTAGGTGACACACTCACGTAGATCATCCAGGCCGCGTAGCGCTCCTTGAGGTTGTAGAGCACCGCGGGCTCGTGCAGGAAGGTCAGCATAGCCATGTCCTCGATCTTGTCGAACTTGGGCGGGTTCTGCTGCAACACCTGGTCCTCCTTCACAGTCACCGTCTGCAACAGCCCACATGCAGCCCGTACTGCCAACTCTCCCCTCAGCAGGGATAGGAGTTGGGCGAGTTACAGGACAATGGTGTTCAAGAGAGGAGGAGCCAGGATCATGGAGAAGATAGACTGGATATTGGGAGCAGAAAGGGCTCTTTGGAGGGTGTGGATCCCTACCCAAAGGAAGAGGAAATTGGACCGTCCTCAGGTCTGTGTGAGTGGCTCCTGGTGGCACTCCACTCTGTGCACCCAAGGTGTGAGAAGTGTCCGGGATGGCCTCTTATGCCAGCCCTGCCACTCACCTTGCCATTCTCGGTCTCAGCAGTGACTTTGCCACCCTCTCGAGACACGATCTTAGCCTTAACGAACTCTTCTTTGTCATCAGGCACGAAGACATCCTTCTTGAGGTCGAAAGGCCTGGTCTGGGCTTCCAGGCGCTCCTTGTCGGATTTGCGCAGGAAGGGGGCGGCGGCCCCAAATACTGCCATCTCTGCATCCCCCATGGCTACACCTGCAGTGGGCAGAAGAAGGAGCTGGTTGCCCTTCCATCCACCTTCACTCCCCTCCGCTCTCCTCTCTGGGCTCTCTTCTTCAATGGGAGCCCCAGAGCCTAGCCCTATGCTCAGGAGTCAGGCGAGGTCGCCTGCAAGTCCTTTGTTCCTTCAGCTTATCCCTTAACCTGAGATGCCTGGTAAATCTATTAGGCAGAGCGGGAGGGTAATTTTTGTTCAGCCTGGGGCTGTCCTAGAAAAAGGGAGAGTGTGGAAGCAGAAAGATGACTGTATCCATCTCTGACCCTTGTCCCTCTCTGGCCCCCTCACTAGTCACAGGTAAGGACTCCTGGTTACCAAGACATTCTCCCCCAAGGCAAGGCAGAAACTAGAGTTCCATATCTTCCCCAATTCCCCCACATCCCATCTTCAGCTTTTCTTACCTTGGCTTCTTAAATATGTCTATGAGAGGAAAGTGTCTCAAGTCTGCAGGGGATCTGGAGAGAGGTAAGGCTATGTCAGGGCCACCTCCCTGCTGCTCCCTGGCTCTGCCCTTCAGCACCCACCCAGCTCTCCCCCAGGCCTGAAAACAGGTGGGAAGTGGTAGTCAGCTTCTCTAGTCCTGTCCTCTCTCTTGCTTTCCAAGCACTATTCCGTTCTCCCCCTGAGCACTAATCCTAACAG